TCAGCCATCACCCACAATACCAGCTTCATACAACAAATATCAGCCATCACCCACAATACCAGCTTCATACAACAAATATCAGCCATCACCCACAATACCAGCTTCATACAACAAATATCAGCCATCACCCACAATACCAGCTTCATACAACAAATATCAGCCATCGCAGTGCCAGGCTCATACAACAAATATCAGCCATCACCCACAATACCAGCTTCATACAACAAATATCAGCCATCACAGTGCCAGACTCATACAACAAATATCAGCCATCACAGTGCCATGTTCATACAACAAATATCAGCTATCACAGTGCCAGGCTCATAAACAAATATCAGCCATCACAGTGCCAGGTTCATACAACAAATATCAGCCATCACAGTGCCAGGTTCATACAACAAATATCAGGCATCACAGTGCCAGGTTCATACAACAAATATCACCCATCACAGTGCCAGGTTCATACAACAAATATCAGGCATCACAGTGCCAGGTTCATACAACAAATATCAGCCATCACAGTGCCAGGTTCATACAACAAATATCAGCCATCACAGTGTCAGGTTCATACAACAAATATCAGCCATCACAGTGCCAGGTTCATACAACAAATATCAGGCATCACAATGCCAGGTTCATACAACAAATATCAGCCATCACAGTGCCAGGTTCGTACAACAAATATCCACCATCACAGTGCCAGGTTCATACAGCAAATATCAGCCATCACTCACAATGCCAGGTCATGCAACAAATATCAGGCATCACAGTGCCAGGTTCATACAGCAAATGCCAGCCATCACTCACAATGCCAGGTCATGCAGCAAATATCAGCCATCGCCCGCAATGTCAGGTTAACACAAAAAATTCCTGAATTTCAAAGTATTACATTTTCCCATCGCTGATTTTTTTTTTTTTTAGACATAAAATTGATGGATAAAATGGACTGACTGATTCACTTGATAAAGCACGCATGAGATTGAACAAGACAGGGCTTGCCTCCTACAGCAATCGTTGGTATTAGGGACTGAAACTTTATTACTAGCCCTGTGAGATATATGGCTCTGACAGCGATGGTTGGTACTAGGAACTAAAACTGTATTTCTAACCCTGGGAGATATATGGCTCTGACAGCAATGGATGGTACTAGGAACTGA